ATGGATCTCAAGACAGGTATGCATGCAACACTTCCAGAGGAACCTAATACAAAAATAAAATGGATATCAAGGTGGGATATTGAATTTCTAAACTGTACCAATAGTTATCAGTTTTATTCTGTCACTGAAAAAAAAAAAAAAGTCATGGAGCAATTGACTGCTAAAAACAGCCCGCTGACCCTGCTGCAAAATTACTTGTAAAACATCAAGTCATCTAACAGCAAACAGAGTGCTACACAACCCTTCTAAACATTTCTAATTTGAAAGGGCAGGATATGCCTCTTTTTAGTATGAAACTGCTGGTGAATTAGTTTCTAAATGACCAGGAGAAAAAAAAATAAAAAACACACCCAAACAAAAATCAATAAAGTTGCAATTGTCTATCAGTAAGAGTCCAGGCCCTTTAAGTTCAGGGAAATCCATCCTTCCCACATAAAATATTTTGTCCTTCAGGAAGAAGTTTGGTAAAGCAGCAAAAAAAACACTAAAAAACTGGAAATGGAATTCAGAAACATAAAGCATCGAGAAAATGCTGGTTGCTACATATTAACTGCTGGGTGTTCTCAAAATCACTGTAACAATGACTTCCAAAGACTCCGAGACCTCTTTCCTCCTTCTTTTTCCTAGTTGAGCATTAACACAATTGAGGAAGAGAGACTTGCTGTCTTAGAAACACACCTTATCTCCCTTGGTCCAAGTATCATCCAGACCCAGCATTTGGATCTGCTGTACAGACTCACAYATGTAATAATTTTCAGCTGGAATTTTGCATGTCCAACTAGGAAGTCCCACTTTCAGAGACCAGCAATTAACATGGAGCAAACAGGCCATGAAGACTTAAAGGCCTTATAATTGGTAATGTGGATTTTAAGGAGTAAAAGAGAAAGATAAAAGGACTGAGGCAACCATAACACAAACAGCTGCCCAGAAGTTTAGCCCAAGTCACCAAGGAGACCAGGGCTGGCTGCAGACCAGGGAGAATACAGCTMACTATTTTGTCCATAATTACACAGCACAAATGAAGCTGCACTGTGACAACTGCTACCAGAAGCCACAGAAGGTCAACCCAAAAGYTTTTCTGCTAGCATCAGCAAAGCTGAAGAGCCTTCCAGGACTGCTCTTCCTTACYGACTGCTATTCTGTCAAATGAGAAATGTCAAGAGCCAAGATAATGCTGACTTGTTAGAACATGCAAGGACAAAGATGTGCTCAGCTCTGTATCAGCTGGACTGTGCAGTGGCAAGCAGCAGGCAGCATCACAAGCGAGAGGCTGAAGARGTGTCTCGGGTGAACACAGGGAGTGGAAACCTAAATCCTCGTCAAAGCAATATTCCCCTCCCTGCATGGTGACCAGGACAAAGCAGACCAAGTTGCCCAGAAGGCAGGTATTGTGTATTACAGCCTCTTCTGCATCTGGACACACACAACAGCTGGTCAAGGAACAGCAATCTGCAGCACAATCCCAATCAGACAGCGAGGCAGTCACTCTTACTTTGTCCAGCCAGAGGCAGCACCCATGGGCGGAAACTCCTCCAGGTTGTTAAGGTTTAGCTGGCTGGGTGGGGATCTGGCAGAAACAAGAGGCACTTCACTCCGCTTCCTTCTCCCTCCACTCCAGGATCCACTGTCACTCTTTCCATCCTCCTCTTCAGCAAGGGAGCGSCCCAGATCCCGAGCTACCTGCCGGCCAGAGGCACCGACCACGCTGCTGCCTTTCCTGCGGCCTCGCCTCACGGGCAGGGYGTCAGGCGTGGCTGTCAGGAAGCTCCCCAGGCTGGCCTTCTGGGATGACCTCTTCTCCCCATGGTGGAGCACAGGGCTGTGCCCAAAGCTGGGGCTGCTGCTGGACACCATGCTGGGGAGATCACCACAGGGGCTAGACAGGTTCGACCCGGAAAAGGAAGAGGAACCGCTGGACGCTGCAGCAGGAGAGAAGCTGGTGTCTGTGCTGCAAGTGGTCACCGGAGTCCTTTGGGAAAAGAGCTGCACTCGGCTGCTGGTTGCATGGCCTGCCCTCCTTTCAGATCCTGTCCTTTGGCTCCCGTGGGCCTTGGAATTAGGAGTCTTAGCAGGAGTAGGAGGTCCATTAGTCAGGATCTGGCTGGTCTGTTCCCTTAAAAAATTTAGCAGAAAAGGCACAAAATCTTTCTGAAGCAAACTAAGAGACACCAGCTTGTCATGGATGTGGTTCTCCTACAAGAGAAGCAGACAAAAAATTACTATAAAGATGCTACCTGATTCTTTCCGTCCATATACGCAGACACATATAAGTGGTAACTGTGGGATTTCAACACACAATAAAAACCAACATGACTTGTGAAAGTAGGTCACTGAAATTCAAGCAAACACAGTGTTGGTCACAGATCTGAAAATCAGCCTGCACACAAGCCATTCTGGCACAAGTTTTCAGATGGAGTGTTTCACTTTGGTCTCTGACTGGAAAACAGTGGAACTGTTCCATGGAAACAGTAACATTCATTGAAGCTGTGGTCAGGGAGGACTTGGAGCAACTGGCACCCCTAAGTTCGACATTTCAAAAACATCAGTATTGAAAGCATCTAATTCTAATAGAAAAATCTAAAATCTGCAATGTCTCTGTACCCGGTCTRTCTGTGAATGCCACCTGCTCCCACAGAGGGGTGCTATAACAACAACTGTTTAAGCCCTTGGAGTCTTGCACCGCCAAAGACCAAAGCTACTCTTCCACTTCAATTAAATAATTTTCCTCCCTGAGACCTCACAGAAGCCTAAACAGGGACTGTCCAGCTTTCAGGTATGTAAAGTTTATAYTTAAGAAACTTAAACCCACCACTTACTCAACACATTTAAAATCTAGACAGGTGGTGGTGATCTTAAAAGCGTAAATTGGGACAGAAACTACTTCATGTTACAAACTCAGTTCAAAGTTTTGTACCCTGGCTAAAAATTCTTTTGTTCCTAATTGCACCAGGTTTCTGTTTCCTCTCAATGGGATTCAGCAACATTTACAACAACAGAAGTTCTCAAAGGCAGCAATGTTTTCCTTACTAATATTAGAAGCATTGCATACATACTCCTGTAAAGTTACATTCACAACCCTACTAGACAAAAAGTCAAGAAAGCAAACACTATTTCTGAAGGTGGTTTTCTGCATGAACAAGGCAGCAAAAACATGCCTGTGACTGTACTCAATCATARTCTTCAACACCTATAACAGAATTCATATTTGGAAGCATGAGACCAATTCAGTTTCTTGGGGAAGAAGTGAGATCCTGATACAGCCTGGATAACAAGCCCAGAAGCCAACAATCAATGAAAAAGAACAGGACAGAACATAACCGCTGTGAGGTGTCAGAAGACCATCTCCAGCCCAAAACTGCCAGGAGAGCTAGAGCAAGATGTAGTCTAGCATTCCCTTGGGTGCACCCTGGATTAACATAGGGGCACAAAGATTATTACAGTCTATGCCATGCAAAAGGCCAGGTAGGTTCTCCAACTTTTCAGAGTACAATCAGCTTTCACTCATCTTTCTCTGTCCAAGTTAACTGAGGTTTGGTTCCTCCACAGCTGGGTAACAGCAACCTGTCAACAGCTGCCAGCTCACTTTTTCATGCTGAAGCAACTGCGCTGCTCCCAACAGCAAAAGGCAGCGAGAAATTCCCTTGCTAGGGCAAACTTTTTTACCTCCACACCCCTCACCCACACAGTGCTAGCTGAGCTGCCAGGATCTCAAACTTCATAACCTCTGCAGGTCTGCTTTTGCAAGTCACAGTTGAAGAAATACCACACAACATGAAGTGCTGGTCCATTCTTCCCACACGTTTAGGATGATGGCAATACACGACTAACTCACGTGGGTGACATCAGTGAGTTTTGATTTTAATACCACGTAGCGCTCTGCGAGGGACTCAGGGAGAAGACGCTTTAAATACAAACTGTTTACGCCATCTGTGAAATACAAGCACTACTATTCAACCTACACCTACAAATGTTTTTATTTCCACAGGAACCCAAATCGTCCGTTACAAAACTCAGCCTACAGGCACCCTCTCCCAGCCCACAAAGATCCTCCTTAAGGTCCAGGCGGGCCGAGCATCCAGCCTGCACAGAGCCACCACCGAGCCCTGGGCGCTTGACAGCTTCGACCTTCTCTCCGCGCTGCCTTCCCGACCAGAGGCGGGAAGCGTCACCCTGGTGTCCCCGCGCTCCCCCAGGACAGCAGCTGTGCCGCGCTGCTCTCCCTCGCCCCCCCGGCCCCGGCTGGCACACGGCARCCCGGGCTCCGGGCCCCCCCGCTCCTCCCCGGGACCGCCCGGCGCCACCGCCCGCCCGAGACCGCCCGGCGCCGGCGGCACTGAGCTCCGGCGGGCTCATCCCTGCGCCTTTCAGCGCGATTCGCTCGCACGCCCGCCGGCAGCTCCCGGCGCAGCTCCCCGCCGGCGGCCTCGCCTTCCCGCCGCTCTGCCCGGAGCCCGCCCGCGCCGGGGGCGGTGCCGTCGGCCGTTCCAGGGGCTCGGCCCCAGCCCGCGGCGGCGGAACGGCACCTGGCGGGGCCCCGGGCTGACCCACGCGGGCTGCGCCCCTCACGGCAGCGCGGGGCGGACAAACTTTCCCGCACGGCCCCGGCCCGCGGCAGCGGAGGGCGCTGGGGGAGTGGCGCGGCTGCGGGCCCGGCCCCGCCGGAGCCAGGGCGCTGCGGGAGGGAGGGAGGGAGAGAGGGAGAGAGGACGACCCAGCGCGCGTTACCTCAGCCGAGCGGTGGCCGGGGCCGTGCCGGAGCCACCGCACCACGGCGCTGACCGGCACCTCCTCCTGCAGCAGCAGCTCCAAAACCGCCGCCATTCCCGGCCCCGCTCCCGCCGAGCAGGCGCACAACCCGCGCCGGGGGCGGGCCCGGCGTGTCCCCTGTTCCCGCGGGGGCGGTGCCGAGCGGGGATTCCCGCCGGGGAGGCGGGCGGGGGCCGCGCCCCCTCCCCATGTCAACACGCGGGGCACGGGGCGCCTGCGCCGGTCCGTGCGCGTCTTTTCCTCTCATGCGCGGTATTTCCTTCCCCGGCAGAGCTCGGGGCTCGGCCTAGCGGCGGCGGTACCCGCGGGCCGGGGTGGAGGGAAGGGCAGCGGCGTGCCGCCCCCCTCCCCGCGGTTCCTCGCCCCCCGCCCGCCGCCGACGCCCGCGGCGGAGGATGGCCGAGGACTCGCCCAAACGGCGCAAGGCGAATTTCAACGAGGCGGAGACGGAGGTGCTGATCGAGCAGGTGCTGAAACACGAGCAGCTGCTGTTCGCGGCGGGACCCGGCCGCGCCTCCGCCGGCCAGAAGCGGAAGGTGTGGGAGCTGATCCGGCACAAGGTGAACCCGGTGGCCGCCTGCCCCCGCGACGTGGAGGACCTGAAGAAGCGTTGGCGGGACCTGAAGCGCCGCGACCGCAGCAAGCTGTGCCGCCTCTCGCAGGGCTGCGGGCCCCCGGCGCCCCCCGCTCTCGGCCTCCTGCTGGCCCCCGAGGAGCTGCCGCCCGCCGCCGCGCCGCCCGCCCGCCGTCAGCGCCGCGCCTACGGCTCCCTGCTGCCCGCCGAGGCCGTGCCCATCGTGGGCGGCATCGACACGCTGGAGCTGCCCGGCGCCGTCGTAGGGGACATGGGTGAGTGCGGGAGCGACCCCCGCGGCGCCGCCCCGGACCCTCCGCCCGGTGTCCCCCGCCGCAGCCGCGGGAGCCCCGGTGTGCGGGGATCGGCGCTGTCCGCCCGCTCCGAGCGCGCAGGGGCCGTGGGGACCGGCCCCGCTGGACRTGGCTGGCTCGAGTCCTTGGAGGCGCAAAACGTACATGCACGCACACAGAACTGTGAGGCTTCGTGCTGTAGGTCATAAAAGTGCCTCAAAACAGCTCCGGAGAGYAAAAACCCCGTGTCGATACTGCCCCTCTACGAGGCGTTAGACCCGGMCAGCGATATTTACTATTGCAGTAATTATTCCTACAAATGCAAAAAGCCATGGCMGCACGCAGATCCAGCCAGGACAAAGTGCTGCGAGCACATAACTTTGTACATTGTGGAAACATTGTCCTTGCATGTTGAAATGATCGCCTTCAATACCAAAGGATTCTTGCAATCACGGTGTTTCAGCAATGCTCTTACTGGTTACTGCACGCAMGATAAGAGCATGAAATGAGCTTGCAGTGAACTTTGTCTTTGGGATTCTAAAGCTTGGTTCTGTAGTATGCAGATACATGGTTAACTRGTGAATGCATATTTATGGTTTTCTTCCCACCTGTCGAGGTAATTTGTATTCTAAAAGCATCAAAGATAAAGTCTGAGTTTGAGAGTCTTGTTTCAAGGTTAGTGCTTAGTGGATGAAAAAGTGTTTCACTGACTACTGAGATTATGAAGTTTCTCACAGGCTCTACTTTGCTTCTCTCCCCGCCCCCTCTACCCCCCCTCTTTCTAGGGTTTAATGGCAATCCTGGCCCATCTCATCAATCCAGTCTCGAGAAGATGAACCTCAAAGAAGAAATAGTAGTGAAGGTGGTGGAGCCAGAAGAAAGCTCTGAGGACATGGTAGTGGTTCCACCTAGTCAAGAACATTTGCCTTTTCTGGGGACATCAGGCGGTGGTTCCTCTGGGAAAGTAAAAGCCAAAACAAAAGGCAGGTCGCAGGCAGACCAAAATGAAATGACTGAAGAGGACCTTCTGCAGATTCAGCAGGCCCAAATACAGGTGATCCAGTCTGGCTTTGACAGTGTCAACCACAATCTTCGGCTGCTGCAGCAAGGCATGCAAGATCTGAGTAACAGCATCAGCATCATGGCACATACGCTTGTTGCTATCAAAAACGTCTATGTGAAAAACAACACTGGCCCCACCACACATGCCACTGCATCTACTCAGACCACAGCTGGGTACCTGAGCCCAGGATCCCCCCAGCTCTCCCCTGCTAAGGACAGAGGYAGAGCACAGGTGGCTGGAAGCAGCAGCAGAAGCAGCAGCTGCAGCTCCAGCTCCATGTCCCAAGAACCAGGTCCTTCAGAGTTTCCTAGGGCCCCCCTGAGAACCATTAAGAAAGAAAATCCAAATGGCTGCTACTACTTCTGCTTTGCAGATGTGTAAAAACTTGAATATGCATAAAGTGACTGTGTTGTTGGGTGCTGTTGTACGTTCCACTCCAGCCTATGACTTTGAAGGAGCAAAGTAGACTTGCCTCCTGTGTTTTTCCCAGTGGGAAACATTTTGCTATAGGTGGCATTAAACACTAATTACCAGTCTCCAGTTAACTCTGTTGCAGTTGGCTAATAATTCTCTTTTCTTTATCCTCTTACTCTCTTAAAAACCCAAATGTTCATTTTGACTAAGACTTTTGTCTGTATCATCCTTTGTTTAATGTCACCTTTTGAAAAATAAAAGGCATGAGAGAGGGGTGAAAAAGTAACATTWTGGTTACTGACCACTACGAGCTGTCTTACACAAGTTGCTTAGTTCTTGGAATAAACAAAGCCCAGAAGTAGCTGTTTTTTTAAATACTTCTCTTTTCTAATAGATATAATGTTGAGGATGTTTGCTTGCTTGGTTGTTGTTGTTTTCTTAAGTCTCAGCTGTGCAAGGCATCACAGGAGGAGTTTGAGATACTTGCTTATTCTAGGAATGGTTTAGGATTGAGGCATTCATTCACAAATGATCTCCTCAGAATTCTTCAGAGACTTTGTGTTTCGCTGCATTTAGCAGGGTAGTCTCTTTTTTTGTCACATTGTTAAAACAGAGAGATACAGCAAAAGTGAGCTGTATGCCTGATGCCTCTGACATACAGGTTAGATGAGGCTGTATCTTTATCTGATTTTGCAAGCCTTCTGGAATCGATGCCACAGTATTTGAAATAGAACAAAAAGCTTTGTATTTTTTTACATTAAATGGAAGTTAGATTTGCTCTTAAATTACAGTAGGCAGGGGCTCACTTCATTCCAGACAAATGCTCCTGCATAGTTTGGGAAGCTTTCATCTTAATTTCCTTTTTGGTAACTGTATACCCAAGGAAGAAGAAAGATGAGGAAGAGTTGGAGCAAAATGTAACCTGGTGTCAACTCTGAAACAAGCAAAAATAATTTTGTATTAATGCCACAAAGAAAAATCTCCTTTTCACATTTAGATAGGGTGAAACTWTTGTCATTGGCACTATTTTAAGATATGTTTTCAGGGTCGTATATTAGAGCTTCTTTGCACAATTCAGAAGTAGCAGAGGTACAGTGTTCTTGTCATCCGTACCAGACGGGAAACAAAAACACTCATCAGATTTTGTCCAATGACTTGAAAAATCATACAGGTTGTCTTCTTAAGCATTTATCACCAACATTAAAAAAGTTCTACACATAAATTTGGCCTATAGTAATGACTAGCTGCCTCTAGTGTTACAGTCAGCTTGCACAAGCATTCCTGCTGCCAGAATTTAGCAAATACAAATAACATAGAGATTCACAATAAAATTATCCCTCTCCCAGAAGCATAAGAATATATAATCATAGCATAAGATATGCCATTTTTGCAGTCAGCTTTGACTGAACACTAACGTATGAAAATGTACATTTAAGTACTTCACTTCTTCCCTTACACCATTTTGGTGTACTGATTTCACACACCTGCACTTCAAAAACCAAACACGGCTGCCAACTAAAATGTGAACACAWGGTAATCAGTTGTTAGCATTTCCCTTCCGTATCAGATGGAGTAAAATATGCAAATATCACAGAAAAATAAAATGTATGCACATACAGCCCAACGTTAATTTGGACTAATGCCTTGAAGAAAAGTTCTCATTTCCAGGTTTATCTTAAAAAAGGAAGATGGTATAGGTGACAGGTATCAATAAATGGCTGGTTTTAAAAATGGGAAAGGATCCTTCTAAATCAGATTTTTGAGTCTATGTTGTTACAAGCTTTTCAAATTAACCTGTTGGAAGCATTATTTCTCCCCCATCAGTACAGATGAGCTCTCTTGTTTTCATGGACAATGAAGCTAATTCATGCTACCACGACATTCCAGGTAGATTAGCAAATGGGATCTACTGGTCCTCCTGGGCAGCAGTTTGAGCTTGTCCAGGTTGCGACAGGCAGTTCTTAGCTGTCTTCAATGTTTCAATTTTTTGCAACTGTTAATTATTGAATTTCGCATACTAGAGCATTTTTTGGGAGAGTTGACCTGTATCTGCTTTCTCATGTTCCAGTTCTGATTTAAATGAGAGGCAGCTACAGTGCGAGTAGAGAAGTGCAGCAAGATCCYGTGAGCAGAATGGGCAGATTTAATCTCCTGTATGAATGAGGATAAGCCAGGCAATGCTACAAGACACTGCAGGTCAGACAACAACCAGACCTCAACATCAATCTGCCATAGTATGTTTGTTCCAATCTTGCTCTTTTCCATGTGTTTCAGTTGTACTGACGACATGTACTGGAGCCAGATCCAAATCACTCTTCCACTTGTGATATGGTCTAGATTTACATGTTTTAAACAAGGAAAGAAACAGCTACCTCTCATCACTACAGAGTAGTGCAAAATTGTTATTTTATTCTTCCARTTATTACAGTTGGTTGCTATTTCTTTATCACCCTTTCTGTGATCAAATGATGATTCTGTTGGGAGCACTGAAATCACATGCACCATCCAGATGCCATGCCATTARTTTCTGGCTGCTCTTAACAGGAGGTGAAACATCATTTTCTTGGACTGTTACTGAGTAAATGAATTCCCAATTTGTTTCCATTTCTATGAAGCTAGCTAGGCTATTTGTATAAATGACAAGAGGTAATGACCTGGTCATGAAGCTTAATGAAAATACTGCCAACGATTTGAACAAAGGCAGAGCTGGCTTTTAATTTGCCTTAATGCAAGGCATAACAGTGGTAATCCTGAGAAAGAGAGCCAGGAGATGTTCTCCAATTCTTCTGGATTTCCCTAAAAAACTTGTCCTGCTGTGCCAAGTGCAAGCAGTGTTTCCCAGTAGCATAGGACTAAGATATTCAGGCACACAAACCAYAAATATAACATGTGGTGATATTACACTCTTACACTCTGTTTATGCCTAGTTTTAGTAGAAAGATAAATAAAAGGGTCTTGGACAAAACTATGCAACCGGTAGCATTTCCCCATAACACTCAGATCCAGCAACAACTTCCATTCATTCGTTTCTCTGCTATCTGCTGCTTAACTTTGTTGTACAGAGGGAGACAAATCTCCTCAAGAGGCTGTAAAAGCTCAGTGACTACATCCAGATAGCTGATTATCCCCAAAAGAGGTCAATTATAGTGGCCTCTGACCAAAAAACCCACAATTTAGGAGAGAAAAAAGCCATCAGCAGCTGGCTTTTCAGGACCACCATATTGTTACTTAAATTGACCTGATCTGGCTGTGCCAATCATTTATTGTTTAGATGAATACAGGCAGAAGGAGTAAGAGCAAATAGAAAGTCAGGTTTCTGAGGAAGCCCATTTGGGTTTTTCTGTTGTTATTAATATACAACACATAAACCTACTAAATCAAACTTCCAATCCAATCATTTCAATTTGGAGTATGAACATCTGATTCAYGTTGCAATAGTACCAACACACACTTTTTACTTTACTTTTTACTTTCTTGTAACAGAGAAAAAAATAATCACTCCCAAAGCATTTTCTCCATTAAAATTACAGGGTTACAATAGGAAAAAACATTGAAAAATATATTAGCTGAAGCTTTCTAAGTTAATGAATCATTATACAAACACAATCAAGAATTGAAGTTTTGCATGCTGAATGAATATTTTATTTAGAACCAGTTTATAAAAATAAAATACAAAATAATTTGAAAACAAAACTTAAACATTGTACAAAGCCTTGATATGGTACAAATGAGAAAATAAATAATTACAACTTTATGTACAAATGACCATTACAAGGGCATTAACTCTTTATGTTCTTGGGTGCCTGAGCAAACTTAAAAGAATGGCTTAAAAGATTTCCGAGGAGGGGAAGAGAACTGCAATAACTGAGCAAGAGAATTTGAAGGACTCAACATTTTTCTTCCTCAATGGTAAAAAATGATCTTGGAACTACTTTCCACTTAAATTAATCATACTGCAAACTACTATTGAGTACTTGATTTCTTATGGGGTGACATAATTGTGTTTTTTATTAATACACAGATTTAATTCTTCGTGGTACTGCCCAGAGATTTTAGATTAGCAGCCATTGGCTGACCACTTCAAAAGTCATTACTTTTCTGAAGGCATTGCTGGTGATTTCTTTAATTTACTAGTTTGGATATTCATATGACAGCATTTAAAAATTGGCATCTGTAAGCACAAGCAATTTGAGTCTGGGCTGACTCTATAGAACGAACAGAAGTTAAAAGTTGGGGAAGAATTTCCAATCTTGCTTTCTAGCCAATGCAAGTAAAGAGGATGCAGACAAGGCTGCTTGGCAACAAATCCAGATCTCCGGTCAGAGGATGAAGATGTGAAATTGCCAAAAAAATCCTACCTCACTTTGTGTCAAACCTTTATGACCTTGCCTGCCACGCAGCAGATATGGGTTTAAAAGGATTTGAAGCCAGGCAGAGCAAATGAATTATACTGCATCTTTTGGAGCAAGCTGTTCTGATGTTACCATAGGTCTTTTACATAAAAGGTCAAAGATCAAGTGATCTCAAAACAAACATCAAATTAATTCCAGCTGAATTCCCACAGACACTTGTGGATGATTAGGACCTCACATGAGAATCCCACTTGTGGTATTGTTTTTAAAGAAACCACATTGTACTCTTGGCCAAAGATGGTTCTCAACAGTAATCTGACAGAAAAGGCGAGATCCAAACGCATGTCATGTCATAAACGTAACAATAAAAAATAAGACTTTTCCAGTTTAAAATACAGCAACTGCAAATTTTATATTTATGGAGTGAGTTTATCCTTTCAGTTCCTAATCAGGGGAAAAAGCCTTAACAAAACAGGACCCTGTAYTGATTTTAATGAAGTTTCATCTGCACAAGAACAGCAAGAACTCCCAAGGATCCGAGATCTTCATGTAGAGAAGAAACAGAAGCAAAATGAAAGACTGATATARGCTAACATTTAGGTTTGCCATTATTACTGTTGAGAGAGAATGTGTACCATCAATGGAGAGTAAAATCAGCCTACCTGTTCAAACCCAGATGGTGAGTCATTGCCAAGTTAATACATCAGCCTTTGAAACAATTGACTCCTGTGCATTTTTCCTTAAAAACCCAACCAAACAAACCACTCCCCCACCCCCCCCCAAAAAAAAGAATGTTTAAAAGCCTGATTATTTCAATCACACAAAAATGAATGATAAAAGCTTTTTGGCATTTGACAACATCTTAAGATAATTCCTGACAATCATTAGATAATCCAGGTTGACTATATAATTTCTCTTTCACAAATATTATATGCTGGAAAGGAAGACTGGCTTCAAGCAGACAGGTGAGGTATTCTTATGTGAGGCGCATGTTTATGCAATTTGATTAGCTAAAAAATGTATGATCTGTGCCTGTGTATTGCATTTAGTCAAAACTGAACCTCAATTCCTTTTACTAGCATTCCTACAAAAAWTGTACTAATTACAGCCAAAGACATTTGAGCCAAAAGCAAAACAGCAAACAAACCCTTTCAGTTCACTGCCTACTTGATTAGCTAAAAGAAATAGAATAAAAATATCATACCCTGTTCTATGAATTTCAGGAACAGGAATCATAGAATCATCAAGGTTGGAAAACACCCCCAATATCCAAGTTCAGCTGCTAATCTAGTACTGCCATGTTCACCATCCAACAAGCACCCAAAGTGTTTACCAGTTGAAGAAAAGAATCATGGATAAACAATCAAGGCTTTTATTTATCCAGCCAACAGTTCTCTGACCACTCCCAAAAGTGGAAAAGCAAACACAGAACACACCACAGGGTATYATGGTGTCAACCTAAGCAGACCCTGACTCACTGAGAATGACAAGACAGATACRCCTCTTGTCACCTCACAGAATCAGTCCTGAGTGAAAGAAATCATATATTATAGGCCTATAATGAGAAAGTTTGACTTTGAGCTCTCTTTTATTCTCCTATTCCTTTTCAGAAGGCTACTCTGTCATTTAACATATTTATAAAAATTGGAGGCACATATCTGTGGTTTTCCATTAGATCCTTTTAAGAAATTGGAATAATCACATTCTTCTTACTAGAATTCATGCCTCTTAGTGTTCCATAAAAATGTTCAATTCATTACAGAAAAATTCTGTTTACAGGAAAATKACTGTACTCTAAGTCTGGCTTTATCTACATTCTCATCAAAGAGAAAAAGAAAAAAAATTTAGAAGCATTACAGTCAACCATCGCATAAATGTTACTGCAGTAAGGACTTATGGGAGTTTAGCTCAAGTAGGACTACAGGATCAGGCCTTGTAATATGAAGAAGACACAGAATCAGAATTAGGGCATAGGAAAATTGCAGTAGATGAAGRTGAGACCAGAGTAAATCAAGGCAGAACAGGCCTTGGCTCACTCTGGCAAATGAGTAAACCGGACGGATTAGCTGAGACTCTTCCTATCTGTATGTATATACACACATATGTATGTATGTATATATATATTCCTATATAATATACAGTATCTATATAAGTGTATATGTAGATACACTTATGTACAAATGTGTATTTATATATATATATATAAAATCAAAATCATGTGTTTTCCCAGCTATAGTTAATACCATAATACTACAWATTGTAGATGATAGAGCTCCTGCAAGTCTTTTTCAGATGAAAAATATTTCAAGCTATTTTTAAATATRTAAGACCAAATCCTCCCTTATGTATCAAGACTGTTTAGTGAGGTATGCAAGAAAGCTTGATCTCAAACATGCAGACTTCAAGTTAAGAGTATGTCCAGATTTCCCAAGACAGGATGTGGCTGGTGGCTGTAATGAATGCCTTGTGTCACTCTGCAGGGGCTTGCCTCCTGTATAATTACATATAACTAGCAGTTAAGATCTCCTATTGCTCTTGCCTTTGAGCAGTGAAATTTTCTATGCTTATCAATCCTGCTCAAGTAGTAGATAGGTACTTAGCATCATACAACTGGCCAACATTGCTCTACTGTATCACACTTTCTATTATTCTAGTAGGGTTTTACCTAAGTAGTAATTGGCATTTGTAATTAATAAAAAGGTTAATTAATATTGATTTTTGAGATTGAAACTTAGATTGATTTTACCATGCAATAATGCAGCACAAAAGTCTCTGTGAAATGTTCAGTGATTTCAAGTTCTATTTTAGTTTAAAGGCTTCATGCCTCAGCTTCTCTAAAAAATACTCCAAAGTGCTGACCACAACACAGAATACATCATAAAGAGAAAATGAGCGTGCAGCATCTGCACCTGCTACATGTCATGGTTCCATTGCACTGCCCTCCAAAGAAATGGAGGCTTGAAGAAGGCAAAGCAACAGCTCCTTGAATTTTATTATTTCCCAGCTAATATTCCTATATAAGCTGCTGTGTGCTATGCAGAGTAACTGTAGCCATTTTGTACAATGGAGAAGAATTTTCTCCRTCCCTGAAAATGTGTTGCAGGAAAACTGCCATAAACCATTCACACACACTCTGCACAATGGCCACACATATGTCAATTGGTGTTTTTCTGCAGAGCCAGTTCCATATTCAAATACTGAAGCTTACAGAGTCCTTAATTATTATATAGGCCCTCTAGAAATATTAAGCTAATATTTATGTATGAGTTGATCAGCTGACCATTACTTAATAACATTAACTGATTGCTATGTTAGACTACAGTAAGCAATTCTGTAAACTTTTGGGGGAAGGGTATCAAGCAATCAAAAACTCAAGAAGAGCAGGTAGCTCAAGATAAAGATATTCACAATTGCTCTTCCATTTGTATCTTCATGATTTTCTCCTTAGACCTTGTTGAATCCACAGCAAAAAAGCAACTAGGGGTATACAGTCCTTTTACCTTTTTCTGCACCAAAAGAAGTCTGGATCATCAATCATTACTGATTTCTCTTTTTCTTTTTTGGCATAGTTTACTATTTTTACATTGGCAAGTAGTTCAAGTACAAGTGAATTTCTACAGCATTGGTTTATTTTACATAGTAATGTCTAACAATGGACAAGCCTGTACTTTGAAGACAACATAAAATAGRTGTTACATTCTTTCTCACCTGTAAAGCGATTACCTGTTTCTGGATCCTGATACAYAGAGAGAAAATATAAACACCTCAACTTCAGCTTTTTCAGGCAAGGATGCATAAAGTTGGTACTTTTTTAAACTGACAATGTAATGTAGGAATAAACTTACAAGACCATAATAAATGCCTTTCAGAAATAAGGAAATATAATCATGGGCTGCCACACCACCTTAACAAATAATTCCAGCAAGTGCCCAGGACAAAAACATCACAATGCGACCAAATTATTTTATGGTATACCTGCAGGAAACATGTAGAAAACAGTAAAGAAAAGATGGATTTGTTGTTGTCACATTCATCCATTAGGTATTCATAGACTGTCAGTGTTCCTATATGACAAGTATTCACAATTAAGAACTTACATTATAAAATAAAAACGAGTAATCACAAGACCTATTTGTAATAAAAAATAAAAATACCTTTGAGTCTTTGTTCTTGTTCCATATGCAAATGTGCACATGAAATTAGAAATTAAAAAGAAAAAAACAAGCTGCAAGACAAAACACTGGCTGGTTGAGAAATCAGCAGTCCTTCAATTTTGT